GAAACCCAGAAGGGCCCAAACTCTCTCGGAGAGGCCAGGAACGCCTGGCTACGCAGCCTAGCAATCAAGGAGAGATATAAATACATGATATTCAAAGTGGTATTTTTCATACCTCATCAATTTCATCATTGTGTTTAAGTCAGTCACTGTATGTTGGTCTCTTCTAAAAATTTGAGCTCTTGGGGTTTCATTGTAGTCATAAAATGAGCCAAATTTTTGACGATATATATCACAACCACTTATATTGTAAATGGAGGGAAAATATCTATAAAACACAATGTACTGTTAATATAATGTATTTGTTCAAGTCTCTTTGGCAAAAATATATACTAGATGCTCTTGGAGCGTTAAGTCGGACTAGCTGTTTTTGAAAATTGAGAAAGACAGTAAAAATATTTATTTCTTATTTTTTATTATAGCCGAACTCACGGTCTAATAAGACCATCTAGTTCAAAATATGCAAAATTTCTTGACCCAAAAGGTCATGTAATTAACAACGATATGAACGTTTTAAAAGAGTCCTTGCTTTGACTGATGTCACTAAGTGATAATACGTTGACCTCCCAGGCCAAGAAAAATACTTATCAAAGTAAAGATGCCTATAAAATCGCCTTTTTGTTATTGATAAACAAAGTTTCTTCTTGTTCTAATTTGAAATCTTTGCCCACACAAGACTGTCTAATGCTAGAAAGTTTCGTAAGCATACTACTCAAAGCTCCATGCAATCTGCACATGCACGTACTATTGATGCCTAGACAGATGCATTCCGATGAGATCACAGATACCACATATTAGCCTTCGGCTAGTCCGATTAAAAAAGGACTTTCAACATTTGTTCAACTTTGTGTACATAGTACAGTGYTCAATGACGCTGGATGGTGAGTGAACACTTTCAACATTATTTACTGCAATATTTGTTTGATTTTGTTGAATGACAATATCAATGAAAAAGCTCAGCTCAGGGCTTCAAAGTGTTTCCATGGCAACTTAAGAGCTAATACTGTGCTGCTGTTTGTTCTGCATTGTTGAAATAACCACACAAATGGCTTCAAGTTCATCAATGTCATCATTCAACATTTTTGAGAACAAAAAAAATGTCAAATGGATATTGAAACGATTTTTTGATTGATTCTACTTGATTCGATATGTTTCAACATAGACTAGTTTGCCCAAGCTCGTTCAACACTGCTGTTCATGTTGATAGCATTAATGCATGGGTGTTAATGATTGTGCTTGCTTACGGAAGATTGTAACTCGACCAAAAGCGGTTCTGTTCTAAGAATACAGTCATGTCAGCAGACTCAGTCATGCCYGGMATTTGCTCAAGAATAGAAAGTGTTCCTGGTTTTAGAGGCTGACCAGGCACAAACTGTTTGTAATCCAGAACCATCCACTAGATAAGTTAAAATAAAGCACAGATGTCATATTATGTCTTTAATAGAATTATCCAAAAATTGTTTATATCTTACCTGATTATTACACCTATAAATGTAGATATAATCCAACATAAATGAGAATGTGGAATAAAATGAAAACAAACATTAAAATCACTTATAGAACTGCATAACATATGCAACTACATCTGATTTGTAAATAATGAAATCACATACCTTGTTATCTATAGTAACAGACATTCATTGCAAAATATAACATACTTACGTTCCACTGTTATACTTTGAGAATAGATAGGTCCACTCTGCCGGTGTCTTTGCCAGTCTGTTAGCAATCATGGTTCTTAGCCATTCCCAAAGGATACCATCTGGTGTAACATATTTCCACAAATCACTGTTATAATTATAAATTGTAGTTTCTTGAGAAACCTTTGAATGAATAACAGGGTTGTTTTGAGAATAGATAGGTCCAATGTATCAACATCGATCATTCCCCTCTTAATATTATTTGAATGTTGCAATATAACGCTGTACTTTCAATTGAGATTGTAAAGTCAGTAGTGGTGTCAAGTTGTAGGTAAAAATAAAAATCGTTTATATACAAAGGAAACTTATGTAAATTGCAGAAATATGCACAGACATTCTTAATAGACTTTAAGATAAAAATTACTGTAAGTTGGTAATAACAAATCATCACTAACAAAATGGTTTCAATACCACAATACCAAAAACCACTTATACTTTTAACTCTAGAACTTACCATTCCACTGCTCAGGAGGTAAAAGTCATCTGCACTATATAGACCCCTTGCATGTGACGTCAAAGCAGCTTCATCTGGAGGACAAAACAAAAGATTTTTATTCTCTTGGGAACTAGAATCCATTGTTTTGTCCTCCAGTTGGAGCTGCATTCCCATGAACTGCAAGGGGTCTATAAGGTACCAGGATACGATGAAAAACTTTGTTTATAACCAGGGATTACTTGCCCTGTGAAAAGTAAAAAATCAAGAAATTTAGACAATGGGACTTGTGTGTTATTGAAATTAAATTTCGTGCTAAAATCATAAGCCTGTTTGCTACAATAACATCATCTTTTTGCACAAAAGTGAAATATTCCTTCAAAGTTAATTTCAACATCAAATGGTGTATAACAGAATTGCCCTGCAGTCATGTGCATTTTTAGCTTTAATCTGAATTTTCCCTACTTGATTAAATGTTATTCCAAACACTTAAGCGTAAAAACAAAAAGGCTAATTTAGACTTATGGCATATAAAATGAATGTCCAGTCTGCATTATATGCATTCACAGAGTATACTAACCATTGCCAGAYGAATATTTAAATGGAAGGTCATAAAGTTTMAATATTCTCAGCATACTAGTGTAAGTAAACCATGTAGCATGTGATATAAACATTTCCTTATTATCAGGAAGAAGTTTGATCAATGCAGAACACTTAGAGTTAGACCCCTTCACATGACGTGGATTTTTCTTCTTCAACACTTGCTCCAAATCCTCAAGATCAACATCTATTTGAAAATGTCTAAAACAGATATAGAGCGAGATATAGTAACTTCATAAAATGTATAAATGCGCACTAGCTTGTAACAATCAGAACATTAAGCATAACATTTTACTTTAAAATATTATTTTATAACAGACAATCAATTCACCTACAAGAAAATAAGATCATGGAGGTCAGGCAATGATTTGTTTAGACGATAYCCATCTTTGAGACCCTCCAGCTGGTAGTAAACAAGCCGCACCTAAATCAAGGAAAAATTATAATACCATTTGCATTGGCAATGTTGTATCATATAGATTATACAAGGGTGATTTACAAATGATGTTGTACTTGAGATAGTGACAGAGCTGCCACCATAAGAATAAACAAATCACAAGAATATCTTTATTTAAATGATCTATCTGCGTATTTCTGTGCAAATCTCATCCTTCCCCCCTCAATCAATGTTGAACTTAGGACTGAATAATCATGCAAACCCTTCTAGCATCACGTCACACACACAAAATTGTTTGGTGGGGAGAGGGAAGGATTAAAATCAGTGATTTTTTAGAGATATGAGAAATGGGGATATTTTGGAGTGAAAAATTGCTGTGGGTTTTGTCTGGGATTGTAGTTGTATGGACTAGGATGAATAAGAACAGTTTATACCCACATAGTGGATAAATACTTTTAATCTACGGAGTGGACAACTTTAACTGGAGAATAACTCTAACAATATCATTCTAATACTATATTTCAGGATTGAAAAATTACGTACTTGGTTCCAGTATTCATCACCTTCCTCTTTCATCTTCTGATCCATCCAATTCTTATTTTCATCAATAAATTGGACAAGTCTTTTGCAATACTCAGTCTCACTTTTACAATAACCAGCATACTCATTGATATAATCCTGGTACATTAGTTCTGATGTTATATATCCTTCTGCCATTCCAGCCGCCATTGCTTGCTCCAGATTTGGATATGATCCATTACTGTGAACTTCAAGATAGCTCCATCTTGATGAAAAAAGACAACAACAACTTTATTCATAGATAGAACAATCAGAACAACAATCAGGGGGGGAGGGGGAGGGGAGTTTTGCCTGTTATATCACTAGAAGCTAAAGCTTTTACTGTATGCCGAAGTTGTTCACTGTCAAATAAAAATAATTGTTTAGGCGAGACTGCGACACAATGCTTGTAAGAACACTAAAGTCTAGTGAAAAATGTCAAAAGATTGTGTATGAACTTTACCCTGATTTGTCGATCTCGTTGGAAAAGCGAGCCCATGCGACGTTTGGAATAACTTTGCCGGGTACAATCTTCAATGACTGATCTTTAAAGATCACAGATACATATTCACCATTTTCCATGCCAGTGGAACAAGCAACAACTCCAAGAATTGCAAATATACGCAGCAACATCTTTTAGCACTTTCTTGTTGAGGGCGCCGTTGTAAGTTGTGACAGCCATATGACTAGTTGACTTTGTACTGGCTGTACCTGGGACTTTGATCTGTTCTCTGTCCATGTCTGTTGGTTGTCGCAGCCGGATTCCAACTCTATTCTTATATTACCAAAAAAAAACAAGACTGAATGAGAGCTGGTTGTCTCCTTTCGCGTGTCTCTTCGGCAGAGTCTGAGAAGGAGCTGGGTACGAGAATGGCGTGCTGGAAAAAGGCGGGAAAACTCTTTTTCCGCGCGAGCGCGTCACACTCCGGCCGTCCCACTGGACCCAATGGGAAGAAAAGTAAAATCCATACTAATTTATCGTCTCCTATTAGTGCATTAAAGATGAGTCATTATTTCAAAAGAGAAAGTGGTAAAATCTGTCTTTCTACACGTTTATGTTTTGTAGCATTCTATTAACGAGATGCTTTTACTTGTGTCTTGGTTTTAAGATTATCAAAGAGAAGGAAATGGAGAAGCCAGTTCTTCGAGTTCTTCCCACATWGTTCCAATTTTTAACACCAAAAGGAAACGGATAAAACAAGCCCTGTATTCCAACCCAAGCCAAGAAAGTAAGAGTTCCTTTTCAAGTTCCGCAACTCAAGTCAACTCAAGATTCAAGTCGAATTTTAATGCAGCACAAGAAAGGCAGACAGAAAATTCACGCAATTCGTCGTTATCAAAAAGCAACAACAATGAAAATACCTACACAAAACCCTTGAAAGTGGACTTGAAGAAACAAAATAATTATGCACCAAAAAATCTGCCCTGTATGCCAAAACCAAGGTAAACATTTTTAAATGTTAAAAGCTTAAGATTACCACTACTGTAAGAAATTGTTCAGTGCGTATACTTGATTTTGAAAAAAAAAATCCYGCAAGCCGTCTTCACCTCCAAAAAAATCGTGCACAGCWTATGGACCTTAAAAAAAATCTTGCACCACCCTAAGCCCAAAAAAATGTTACATACAAGAAAAAAAATTCCTACACACCACCAAGAGAAAAAAAATATATCCCACCCAAAAGCCACGAAGAAATTGGCTTGCAGGATTTTTTTTTTCAAAATCATCCACCCCCCCCCCCCCTCAAAAGTTGAATGGTTCGTCCCTAAACACTCCGAGTTCCAGAAAATTTTCTTTTTAATTGAATGCTCTGAAAATCAACGGAATAAATAAGGAATAGTTACTTAGAAAGCCACAATTTGAATTTTTAAAATTACTATTTTACATATTTTCACACAAGTTTGGTAGAAAGTTTGGCTATTTTGAGTGCTATTTTTAGCCATCAAACCGTTGTCACGGAAAGGCCCAGTATGTGACATTATTTAGCGATTTTCTTGCGAAAAATGAAATATTTTCAAAAACCAATTACACAGCGATTGTTACCTAATCATACCTTATCAATAAACAAATATGAATAGATTTGATTTTTCAAGCCTTGCCAAGATATGTCTGAAGCATAAGTTTTGTGCGAAACTTATTAATAATGTGTCATCCTCGAGAACCCAGGCGTAAYCTTCCATTATAAATACAAAATGTTGTTTTGACTGCTCTAGGCCTCAATTTGGTGTTGGGGGAATTCCTCTAAAGAGAAGCAATGCCAACCAGGAAAGTATCAAACCGAAGACATCTGTGAATATGTCATTCAAATCTGGACAACCCAACCAAGTAAATCTTATTATTCTATAATTTGATAGCTAAACTAGCTCTTTGCATGTGTGTGTCTTGAGTTGGAAGTGGAGGAGGGGGATTAAGCTCTCTGTATATTAATAACAATTTTGTATGAAAAAAACTTTGAATTACTAGTTTATTGTTTTTAGAAAGGTGGAAGTTTCAAACTGCAAGGAAAACTGGAAAACAACACAGAAATATCAGCAAAAATGTACACATCATGGATTGGGAAGAGTTCAGAGATAGAACAACTGGAGCTATTTTTGAGGTTTACGGTAGGGCTTGGTTGATCAACAAGTTGCAGTATATTATTGATATAATGATATGAAATCCTTTCTTTCTTTTGATATAAAAGGAGTTTTGGAGTCTGCTGTTTCTACAAATTCTCTAGGAAATAGTAAAAGTTTTATCCTCAAAGACAACACTGGGAGTATGAGGTAAAAGTGAATTGCTTTACATCGGTTTTAACTCTTACCAGTACACTTACTAAGTGGCATATTTTTATTTTAGGTGCACCTTTTGGGAAATGGTAATTAAAAATAGTAGTTGCTCACTATTTTAAATATTCTTTCCACATATAACAAAGTATAATTTGTTCTATTTGAGGATCGATCACTGCCAAGGTTAACAAGAGGAAKGAACTACAGGTATGTTCAAGAAAAACTTAATTTGTAGATGGTTCCTATATCTCTTCAATTTGTTCATATTTATATCAACTTGCACTTTCACACCTTAAATTGTTGTGAAAAGGCTCAGACAATTTGTGAAATGTTTGGTAGTCTGAAATGRTAATACAAAATTCCTAACAATTTCAGAGTGGTTGGAAGTTTGGACAGAAGGACAAAGTCATTCCATTGTGTAAGTGTAAGACCTGCTAATCCTGTTGAAGTACGATTAGCTGAAACCAGCACTGCTTGCTCTGAAATGGCCATGCAATTGTTCATTGCAAGATTTAAAGAAGATTAATGTAAGTTACATTTGAGTGAAGTCGACGCTCACAAAAATCATGTTATAAAATATTATTTTATTGTGTATAATCTATTGTCAAGCCCATTGAAGCTTCAAAATTATGGTTATAAAATGATGTTTGAAGGAAATTTGTACATGTACAATACAGATAAATTTACTGAACTATTGCTGAAAGTTTCACTATAAATCAGGAAAAGATATTTTTGCTATCATTTTCTTTTATAAATAAATAGCAGCATTTTCAAACACAAAATGTTCATAATATACAAAAGCAGCATTTAGCTCAGAGGGGCAGTATTAAATCCACGAAACATCAATGAAGTATCATGAACACAAAGGACACCACATCATCTACCAAATATTTCATTGATGAAATGCAAGCCTTCCGCATTTTAAGATAGATTTGTTCTGTCTCTGCTTTTATATGTTATTCCTCTAGCTTTAAGCTCTCTGATTACATGTCCTGGAAGTTTTCCACTTACAGATACTGCATAACAGCCTTTGGCCATGTTATCTGAAATGTGAATTGAGTCAATATATTATTATCCTCACACCGACAAAGAATTCAAGTTTAAAATGAAATAAGTCTCAATCCATTACCTATTCTTTGCCATCTTGCAACCCAACTATCATCAGGACTTATCATAGACACCAAACTGTTGAGGAATCAAATGGAAATTGTAATTGTGGTTAAAAATTTCAAATGAGTGATGTTGATTCAGTGATTTAAGTGATTTTAAACTGTCTTCTCTTTTCTTATGCGAGCACTATTGAGATGAAATTGCTATTAATTAAAACACATGCCGGCGTAACTAATCGATRAAATCTATTAATCGATAAAATCGATACTAATCGATACAAACCGTAACTAATCGATCGATTATTATCGGAAATCGATAAAAATCGATATTCAGCTTTGCTGTGATTATCGATTTTATCAATTTTCATCGATTTTTATCGATTTCCTATCTGTACTGAATTTACTTATAAATAATTACGCTACGTTCACACGGGGCCGGTCAAGTTTTAGGATACCTCGGTTTTAGGACAGTTTCCACTCGGAACCGTCCACATTTCGGTACGGATTGAAACAGTGTTTACACGGATCCGTTCATGCTTCGATGTGAGCCGTCCTCAAAGTGGAACAGCTTTTTAACCCTGAACACTTGACGCAGTATGACATGACGCCAGAGTCCAGTTCCAGAGTTCCAGTGTAAACGCGCGCCTAGAACGGTTCCGTACGGAACCGGCCCCGTGTGAACGTAGCCGAAAACTGTGTTTTTGATAGATTTTATTTTTGGTACTCAGTGAAAGTAATCGATATTAATCGATATCTCTATATTTTTTTGTGATTATCGATTTTTATCGATTACCGATACTAATCAATACTAATCAGTTTGATATATCGAGTAATATCGATTTATCGATTAGCTTTCCGATGATCGATTTTCATCGATTAGTTACGCCGGGAACACATGGACGACATGGACACTGTACGACTTACCCATCAAAGTTTGGACTTGTGCAGGATAAAATATTTTCTTTATTGTTCTTTAGTCTCAAATATCTCTCACAGTTATCACATCCAGAATATTCGAACTGTTCTAAGGTCTGAAAATATGTAAAAGTTCAGTAAGCTTACCTCAGCTAAGTATCATAATAAGCTTTCAAAGACGAAATCACCATAAGAGATCTTCAGGAACTTTACATACATTTTTCAGTTAGTATAATGACTTACTGTCTTAAGCGCAATGAACAACATGTCCTACCTTGATAAGTGAGCAATTTAAACATGCACGAAGGTTTCTCAGTTCTTTTGGTACTGTTTCCATCGCCATTTTGGATTCTACAAATATAGCAATGAGCCTGCGCACCCAACTTGTCTGCGGTCTTTTCAACTCCACAGGACGCCCGCAATCAAACATTGAAACATGCTAGCCTGGAGTTCAGCCGAACCAAAACTTGTCGAACACAACGAGAGTTTTGGTTCGGCTGAACGCAGGCTAACAAATTCATATTTGCCTTGAACAAGCTACAACGCGACAGGGACAAGACGTTGCAAAGAGACTAAAATGTGTGGAAAACATATGGCCTGGTAGATACTATTTCTGTGAAGTTTTGGGCAACGAGAGAACTGAATAGTTTCTGATTACCATTTAAAAACCTTTTGAAATGGTACTGAATCAGAAAATATTTTCGGAATGTCCCAGCCGCTCCGGCCAGCCTCAGGGGCCAACAGTCAATCCATTGGCCAGGCCAGAAGGGCGGAGCGGACATCGAATAAGATTCCAATAAATACTTTTTAAATATTTTTTAACATATTTATTTATTATTATCAACGGAAAAGAATGAATACTAGTAATACAAGCAGAAACTACAATGGAAACGGATCGGAAACATAAATTTAAAGTAAATTTAAAGTATCGGTGAAATTTTGAAATTCATCAGTTACGCCAGAAATTTACCAATTCGACACTGACGTCATACAAAAACTGAGACCGCACTATTTTGAGCTCCTTTGTCTGATTTCGCAAAATTTAAACCGCTTTAATTGTTACCTTTCCATCTCCCTTGTGTATCCCTGATTTGTTTTCTTGCAATGAACCACTGTTATAAGAACCCCCTCCCCCTGCGGTACCCATAGTTATATTACCAAAGTAGCCTCCTCCGGAATATCCCCCTCCTCCTCCAGCGTGGTCCATTGCATATCCACCCCCGCCAAAGCCTCCCACCGCCAAGTCGCTTGTAATTCCATTTCCTCCGGTACCACCATTAACATACGCCATCGCTTTTACGAATTGTTTAACCTCTCCATCGCCTCTATAACCAGCTCCACTGCCGCACAAAAGGGAACGATCAACACTACAGAGACGACCACCCATCCCATTAGCTCCACCACAACGACTGCCATTATTACCTGCTTGACCGGGATCACCGTCTTGATAATTGACCCCTGGTTTACCTCCACCACCACCCCCGCCGGCAACAATCAACACCGTACTATCGTTACTATTAATCACAAATGTTCCCCCACCTCCACCCCCTGCGAAAACATAACCAGGATCAAGCGAGCCCTTCTGTCCCACGAGAATTTTTAAAATGATCCCTTTGGTCAAATGAAAAGTTCCTGTGATTTTTGCACCAAGACCGCCCTTGTGGCACAACAAAGAGGGATTTTGACAACGCCCATCGGCACCAGATGCCCCATAGCCTTCAATGATATATTTAGTCGTCTTTGGTACTGTCCACTGTTGTTTACCGCTTTCAAGGAGAACAGAATCTTGTAGGCTTGTGCCATTATAACCAAAAGTACTGGTGGATCCACTTTCGCCAACGGCTCCAAGAGAAGTAAACGTGAACTCCAGAACTATAAAACCAGCAATCAAAGCCATCACGCTTTTCGAGTTGAAACTATATAAACGCATTTTTATTTACCTGGTTTAGGTTCTCGTGGATAAATAAGACCAGGTTCCTAAACAATATAAACAGTAAGAATAGATGACACCACGACTGCAAATTATCTGACCACTCAAATCACTTCTCTTATCATAGAGTATATTCTACTAAGTCTCAAACATTACTTCTAGTTGATACTTACCGCCTCTTACTTTAACCGAAAAAATAATTCGATAATGTTCTAGATCGAGTAGATACCCCTTCCCTCGCCTAAGTTGAGATTAGGTGTGGATCAGGGGGGGGGCGGGGCATTTTAAAATTCGATCGGCTGAATTTAGAGTGCAATGCAACATCTCCGACAAACCATTCGATCGATGGAATATTATGTAATCATGTTGAATCATTTTGGTATAACTTACAGTCAAATTTTGCAGTTCCCCGTATGTGCACCCCTTATAGACCACAAAGAACCACATGTCAGCACTCTGAGCGGTTCTGTTGTTTAGATGACAGCTTACTATCTGACCGCCAAATGTATGATGAAAGTTGAACGATAAACAGCGATACTCTGTCAGGCACAAGTGTGCACATTCTAAAATGCTAGTCGACTGCTCTTTGCGGAAAGTGTAGCCATCAAGGATATAGTTATGCGTGGTTCTAAACATTGAGAAGCGAGCTGCATCTTCCCGAGTTGGATATATGTATGCAGTTAGTCCACTAACCGCAAGTATTGAAACTGCTATGAAGCAAGTCCACATTTCCTTAAAAAAAAAAGGAATTGAAAATTAAAATGCAACAAAACAATTTTTGTTATATTCTTTTTGTTCTCACAAACTAAATCCGAATTTTGTTGTGCCAGGACTTAACTCCAATAAAAGTAAATCTTCATGATAAGCTAGGTTTTGCAAATTTCTCGATTAGTGCTCATATTGTGAAGCAAATTTTTAAATTAAAGAGATTTGCTTTTTTTTCACTTACAGTACAGTGTGTTATAAGTCGATGAGCAGCTGGGGCCACTCTAAAAACCTGATTGAGCTCGAGCTTTACAACTGAGCTCTTTAGAACTACTTTGTTTAATTTCACAGATCTAAAACAACTTAATTATTATTTACTTTTTCTTGACACAAAGAGTTAAGCTCTTGGCACTGCTTCTAAAATGGGGGTACATATGGAACATTTCAGGCGTAGCTTAAATAGACGAGAATCTGTTTACATAGTCCACTGCAAAAAAATAAAGTAAAATAAATAAATAAAAGAAGGAAAATTTTTACTAATAATTACAAAGTTCAACAATGATAACTGAGTTTTTTTCTCGTCATTTGCACCGTATTTTTCCTGTATATCTTGACTATCTTGTAAATTACAAATATTTACAAAGCATCCGTAATTCAAAATCAACTTCAAACAAGTGAAATTGATTATTGCATAGTTTATTAGACACCTGTATGTAATTCTATTTTCGGGTGATGAACAGCTACTTCCAAACGAATATATATATGATGCGACTAATAGAACTCTGAAGCTTTTACGTCATGTACCGTATACGCATTGCATTGTAGGATATGTTTGGGACAAAACATGGCGGAATTATTTTGTTTTCTCTTGAAACTGATCCCACAATGCATTGAAAATCAAGTTGTGACGTAAAAGGTTCAGAAGTCTATATGCGACAGGAAAACCGATTTTTTAGAAAAAATAAACAATGAAACTTACTCGATGATTCTGAACGCGGTAAACCTCTCATTTTTCTGTCACCGGCATTTTTRAGGCACAATCTTCGGTCGGAAGCAACGTAGTTATCAGACGTGTAAAGTAAACTGTGAAAGTTTTCCATATCTTATACACCTACTTGAAAACGTTGTCATAAAAAAATAGGACATTTGTATTTTAGTAAAAAGAAATAAATTAAAAAGACAAAAGAAGATCACTGAGGCTGAACGCTTTCTTTTGTCTTGTTTTAATTAATTCCTTTTTACTAAATTCAAATGTTCTATTTTCTATGACAACGTTTCTGCAAGTAGGTGTACGTACTAATGTGCTTTTTTTACTGACACCCGCGATTAAATCATGCGAAACTGAATATTGAACTGAGCTGTAATGTAACTGACCCAGCCACAATTAGTAATAAAATTTCAAACACAGAAGTTCATGTTACAAGTAACCATCAGGTACTAGCTCAAAATGTCTCGCTATCTTTGAATATAAAATCCGATTCAGTATAAGAAGAGAGAACAATGGATTTTCTAATTGATGTATTATTTTTAAATATGTAATTAATGAGCTAAGTTTTTAGAAGAAAAGATAATCTAAAAACTTGTCATAAATGCATGGTTACTCATACGTTTTGCTAAAATGCTACGCCTTCGATGGCAAAACTGACATTTCTGTTACAGGTGTATATGAAGCGTGTGGTACCAGGGATTTTCCTTGACTGACGAACTCTTTGAAATAGGAGACAGTTGTATAAAATTAAAGATAGTTTTATTTGAACACCGTAAAGAAGTAGGAGAAACAACTTACCGACGTTTCGGAAGTTAATCCTTCGTCAAAGTAAAACAAATCCTTTACTCCGAGAACGATTAACGTCAGTAAGTTGTTTCACCTACTTCTTTACGATGTTAATTTTTTTCATTTTACATAACTCTTTCTTTACAAACACCGACGCAGTTCACACTAGTTTACCGCTACTCGGTATCCAGCATTAAATATGAGACCTTATTTGCCAATACAAAGTCCAACAGCCAGTTCATTCGATGTGAAACCAAACACTTCAGTCCGTAGCCTTCTCCAGTCATTTAACCGCAAAGCTTGAACCCCAACCCCCTCCCCACTCATATTAAATCCCTGCACACGTCCCTGTGTTATATTGAGAGAGAATGTTATTGATTTCTGAGATGGGAATTCATTCTTTTATTATTGACTCAAAAGAGAGCTGTGATATAGCTTTGGTTTACTTTTAATGGATGATTGCAAATAAATCACGAATATTATTACATCAGCATGTCTTTGATTGCTAATCTAGGCAACTTTTATAATTACTTTTCCATCTCCTGTGTGTATCCCTGATTTGTTTTCTTGCAATGAACCACTGTTATACGAACCCCCTCCCCCTGCGGTACCCATAGTTGTATTACCAATGTAGCCTCCTCCGGAATACCCTCCTCCTCCTCCAGCGTTGCCCATTGCATAACCTCCACCACCAAAGCCTCCTACCGCTAGATCGGTCGTTATTGCTTTCCCTCCGGTGCCACCATTAACATACGCCATCGCTTTCACGAATTGTTTAACCTCTCCATCGCCTATGTAGCCAGCTCCACTGCTGCACATGAATGCAGACCCATCAAGACTACACAGCCGACCACCCATCCCATTAGCTCCACCACAACGACTGCCATTATTACCTGCTTGACCGGGATCACCGTCATGATAATTGACCCCTGGTTTACCTCCACCACCACCCCCACCGGCAACTATCAACACCGTACTATCGTTACTATTAATCACAAATGTCCCCCCACCTCCACCCCCTGCGAAATCAAAACTAGGATCAACCGAGCCCTTTTGTCCCACGAGAATTGTTAAAACAATTCCTTTGGTCAAATGAAAAGTTCCTGTGATTTTTGCACCAAGACCGCCCTTGTGGCACAACAAAGAGGGATTTTGACAACGCCCATCGGCACCAGATGCCCCATAACCTTCAATGATATATTTAGCCGTCTTTGGTACTGTCCACTGTTGTTTACCGCTTTCAAGGAGAACAGAATCTTGTAGGCTTGTGCCATTATAACCGAGAGTACTGGTGGGTCCACTTTTGCCAACGGCTCCAAGAGAATTGAACATGAACTCCAGAACTATATAAAGATATCAATTATATAGCATTAACGTTTTCATTGAAAATTCTTGGAAATTGTTCGCGGTTTCTTCATTAATTACCTGGCTCAGGTGTTCCTGGAGAAATAAAAACAGGCTCCTACAAGACACGAATAGATAACATATAAACTATAACATACAACGTTTCGAAGAATGGAGCAAAACAATGAGAATTTGTCTACTTTTTGGCCGTTTTAGAAAAAAATCCCAGTCCATCGAGTTGTGAAATTTCTGAACCTTATCTATTTTAAAGAGTAATTAGCACTATAAGTGATGAATGTGTCATAAATCGATATAGTTGGGTAGAAGAACTGCGAGGAAATGGTATAAAAACTGTTCTATAGGTCATCTTGCTTCTAATTAGCTATAAACAGTGCTCACTCGAGAGACAAATTGTACAGATTACCATATCATTATGCTAAGCTAAGAACCAAAACGTAAGTTCATTTTACCATACTGTCAATCTCTTTTGGTACTTACAGTCAAATTTTGCAGTTCCCCGTATGTGCATCCTTGAAAGTCCAGGAAGAACCACCTGTCAGTACTCTGAGCGGTTCTGTTGTTTAGATGACAGCTCACTATCTGACCGCCAAATGTATGATGGAAGTTGAACGATAAACAGCGATACTCTGTCAGRCAYAASTGTGCGCATTCTAAAATGCTAGTCGAGCGCTCTTTGCGGAAAGTATAGCCATCAAGGATATGGTYATCAGTGGTTCTGAWTGTTGAAGAGCGAGTGGTATCATCTCGAATTAGATATGTGTTTGAAGGAGTTAATATYCCAATCGCCAGTATACTTGCAATGCAAGTCCACATTTCTTTACCTAACAGAGCAATAAAACTGTGGAAAAACATGTTTGTTTTTATTCAATTATGTTAAATGAAATCTACTGTTATCAATCTACTAGCACTTGGCTCTATTTTCGATCGCAATCCATTACTTTTTTACAAAAAACTTCAGCACATTTCGTCGCTTTTATTGACAAGTGCGTGTGTCTTGAATATATTTTAAAATATTTTCCCAGTTGATGTTGTTTTTAGATCTCCTCTTGTGGCAAATTGTTCAATGTACATATTTTGTAACACCTAATCTATTTCAGATCAGTTTCTAGTTATTTTTTAAAAAATACAGTAAACAAATTTAATAATTTAAGTGCCCTTCACTGTTATAATCGTCACAGAGGTATAATTCTGAGAGTTTCTCATGCACGTCAAAGACCAAGTCAGTTGGTAAGATTAAAATGTCAGCCGAAAACAGATGATGAAAAACCTTAAATGAATGTCTTTTTTGTGGTAAATGTTGAGAGTTTATCTCAAATGTAAACTCRAACATATTAAGTAAACTTTCTAAAGTCTCCTGTCAAGAGCAGTTCAAAAAGAACCTGAAAAGAACAGCTTGTAYCGCTATAAAAATTTGCTCTCAGATACTGATTAATGGTCTAGTCGTTAGTAGAGAAAAAGTCAGTGAAAAAGTCAGCTTTTATTGCTGTGTTCAACAATAAAAACTAAGTAATACCAATTGATAAAAACAAATGATTTGCTGCGAAATTTAAAAAAATGTCGTACTTACGGTAGCTGACAATTTGAAGGATCTCGTCTATATGCCGATAAACGTCTTTACTTGAGTCCTGTATTCTTACAAGAACGTACTGGAGTTATAAAACTCTAACCCTTTATTTACGTTGTCATGAGGTTTGTCGCATTTCAAAGTGCGTTCAACGCCACGCTTGATGATGAGTAAGGACTAATTATCGAAGTTTGCACCGCCTTTACTCAGCAACCAATCTTTCAAGACAAAAATTTTATTTGCTTTAATCTTTYTAAAGTCTTTGATCGTCTTTATCCTACTTCAAACAAACGGCAAATAAGTAAGTAATTTTTGYCATTGTATTTGTCTATCTTTGGTCTTTAAGAAAACTGTTTCAATTATATTTMAATTTCGGTAGGTGGTGTACTATACTGCATGTTTTCTTTCCGATAAACCATGGACAATTCATCAATTATTGCACATTATTAAAACTATCATAACAAAATTGGAGTTGATAATAATAAAACATGACTTCGAAACACATTTTTGCAACATTRGATTAATAACATTGAAGGTATTGTTTTCTATTTGGGCAAGTGAGTCAACGCTATTAATCATGTGGTGGGTCCATTTTGAAGAACGTCGCCTTTTTCTGTTTCCACTACTTTTTCTTTTAGCCTAAATCTCAGATCCTTCCCCTTCCTCGGGAACCCACGGGTAATCTTCTGGGTTTCCGAGGATGATTCTTACYACCCTTAAATTCCAATATTGACTGTCTTATTCTCAATTTTCAATTTTAACGAATGTCTTAGTTATGAATATTTTAATGTATTCATTAGAGCTTGTTTTGGCATGCCAGGAAGTTCCTGGTATCGAGATGGTTCACTGGAGTAAAAATAWAAGAACGTCTGCGTGTAAAAGGCAATTTTTCAATACACTCATAACATACTAATGAGGTTATAGGGCTGGGCAGGATCGCAATGTTATTTCTCGACGTTCTGCCGGAGACAAAAAGAAACTATTTGTCTTTGGTTTGCGTTACACTATCACTATCATTTCATAGGCTGCTATACATGAAATGTTTTTTCACTTATAATACTTACTTACTGTAATTTTTGTTGTCGAGGGATCGTCAAAAATTATACAGTGGCTTTAAACAAATATTTATTTAACTAGTGGTGTACCTTATATTTAATACAAAGATAAATAATTTCAAAACAGTTTAAGATGACCTGTTACTTCATCAACAAGGGCTTTTGGTCCTGTAGATGAATTGAGATACATTGTTTAGTTGATAGTTCTATCAATATTCACCTCTATTWTTCACTAAAGAGTGCTGTCACTATCAGTTAAAGTGTGACGCTATGAGCCGAAGCCAGTCTTGTGATAATCACAAGAGGTTGCTACCTTATCATTATTTTGTAATCATACACAATTTCTAAGTAATATATGAAGTGTCATAAAGCAAAGAAACACACGTTTATCTGGATAGCTTTGGTTTGAGTAGATGCATTATAAACTGTAGTATTGACAAAACAACAATTTTGGTTTCACATGACATRMATTTACCTGGTCCTACACCAAGAACAGTTTTTGATCCAGGAGCTATCTGTGTTCTTCCAGCATCGCTTATAACACAAGTTTCTAAGCCTTTAGCTCTTCCTTTTCTAGCAAGTTCAATACTACCATGAAATGACAAGAGAAAAGGTTTAAATGTTGGAAATTTGGTGTCAGCAGTGGCTGGTAAGGTGTCAGTAAGTGGTTGGTCAGGTATCAGTAAGTGGTTGGTAAGGTGTTAGTAAGTGGTTGGTAAGGTGTCAGTAAGTGATTGGTAAGGTGTCAGTTAGTGGTTGCTAAGGTGTCAGTAAGTGGTTAGTAAGGTGTCAGTAAGTGCTTGGTATGGTGTCAGTAATTGGTTGCTAAGGTGTCAGTAATTGGTTGCTAAGGTGTCAGTAAATGGTTGGTAAGGTGTCAGTAAGTGGTTAGTAAGGTGTCAGTAAGTGGATGGTAAGGTGTCAGTAAGTGGTTGGTAAGGTGTCAGTAAGTG